CAAGGACCGTAAAACTTAAAAATTGCTCCACAGGGAGAATTTTCTTCTTCAGCACCGTCAAATGGTTCATCACAGAACCAAAATATTACCCGTTGTCATTCATACTGAATGACGGGATTTTCACAGGTCGATTTTCGACCTTAAAACGGCCAATCCGCCGTGCAAATTATTTTCCTCCACACGGAGAAGGACACCACCAGCAAATACGATCATCACCAGAGGCTTTCCCGACGGCAAAAGCCTCAAAACTACCGAAAACGAGGTAAAAATTAATCGAACCGCGATCGACAATTTCGCGATTCGATTGTTTTTGTTTACATCTCGTTTTCATATTCTCTTTCGCCTCTTCGCGAGGATGACGCCATCAACGGATTGACAGTTTCATTTATCGTGCGTTCCGCAATCCGTTCAGGATGGGTTACACTTTTGCGCGTAACACCTCAGTGGGAATACACTGAGAAAATTTCTCGCCGTAATTTTGGCGCGCGCAAACACCAATTTTAATTTGTTTTTCATAATTTTTGTTTTCTTTCATTTTATGTTGAAATCAGAGTAATTAGGCTAATTCTTCATAGAAATAGATTTTAATTGACTGGCTTTCACATTCGGGGTCTTGCTCTTGTGTTTTTCTTCGGAAATTCACTTGATGTATAGAAGACCTACCGATGTCCAGTATGTGTCCAGTTGTTTGATTACTTTATGTGTGTAATATGTCGGGGGTTTAATTCGGAGTACTCACGTTACTGAATAATGAACGCGTAGGCCAAATGAGTGTTGATGAATGAGTGAGACATTAAAGTATGAATTTGAAAAGAATTAGAACCCCAATCGATATTTAGAGTATGGATATCGTCAGGGCACAAACTGGACAGTCAAAAAAAAAAACTGGAATTGACAACCGTTCCACTGCAAGTCAAAACCGTAACTGGGACTTGCAGGGTTTTAGGAAGCGAATGCTTCCGAGTGTTTATTTGAATTGGCTCGGGTGGAATTGAGTCTTCATTCACCCGTTGCAACCCGGATGTGATAATGGTGGAGTTGACGCATCTCGGAGACCCAACTCTGGTCTACAGATGGGTGAGAATGTCGAGGCACCGATTTATTAGTCCGGTCATTTCTCTGTCCCTGATTGTGACACTTTTTATTGTGGAAAAAGTTGTTAGGATTAGGCAGATTTTTTATTTTTTTTCTTATTTATTTTTTATTTTCATTTTAATTCGTTTATTTATTATTGTTCACGGTGTTAGGTGTTAGGGTTAGTAAAAAAATGGTTGCCATTTTTTTTCTCCTCGGTGTTGGCGAGATTGTAACCCTCGTCCAGGGTGACAATTATAAACCACCCTTTTGCCGTGTTTGCCATGAGCGTGTGTCTTGTCTGTTATAATTTGTTTTTGTTTTGGTCACACGCTCGGCAACATACTTACCACTACCTGATATGTAAATATTTTAATTTGTTATTTTCTTTGTAGATTTTATTCGGTTTTTTATGTTGTTAGTTTAGCTAGATAGGAAAAAAATTATCGTTTATTAATGTATCGCGTCTCAAATAAAGTTAGGTCCTGATTCTCCTCCCGCTGCAAAAGAAGGCGAATCCCATAAACAACATAAAAAGTCGAGCGCGGTTGCAGGAGAACGATGGCGGTTTTTGTTTTGTTTTGTGACGTTGTGAAAACAGAGAGAACAGTTCGAGCCACGGTGGAGTCTACGCGGGTTTTTCGTTCGGAGACGTTTTTTTTCTTAGTCCCGAGAAAACGGACTTTACCTGGGAAAAGTTTGCCCAGCCGCGACGCGAGTGCCAGTACGCATCTTCCCAGTGCACCGCGAGTGGAAGCCGGCCCCGTGGCTGCGAAAATTAGTGTTGTTGAGTGCAACAGAGTGTCGGATCGCCATTGTGGGAAGCTAACCACAAAGGATCCGGTAGACACTCGCCGTCCTGACTGCGGTGGCTCAGCCAATAGAGCCAGTCTCGCCACCGCAGTTAATCGTCAAGCAGGACGAAGCAGGTGATACCAGAGGTGAGTTCGCCTGGGCAGAAACACTGCGGTGTCTGCCGGGGTTGCCTACGGCGAGTAGGCAATCCGGTGATTCGTCACCAACGTCGCCGGGGGGGTTCCAACAGACGAGCCCAGCTCATCCCCCCCGCTAAGTGTCAAGGACAGCTGCTAAGCAGCCGAATAAGCAAACCGCTCAGCACAGTCCGTGCTTTGTAGCAGCAGAACCGCCGCCATACCGTCGTCGAAGGGCCCCACCGAAGAGCAGCAGCAGCAACAGCGAGGAGGAGAGGGCAGAGATAAGTAGCGAATAGACGTCTAAAATTGCATTTCTTTTTGTTGTTTTGTCCCACCCAAATCCGGACGTCTTTGGGGGAAGTACCCTTGCTCGAGGCCGCCCCGCCGGGGTAAAATCGGGCCAGCTATAGGCTGGCAAGTAAGCCGTAGCTTACAAAATATCCTACAATACGGGTATTTTCGGAAAGGGAACGACGAGTAGAGGCTGGAAATCGATGCCAGACGCCATTTTAAAATCCAAGATGGCGACCATCATCAGACCACTGTCAAATACGTTACAATTTGGATATTTTCGGAAAGGGGATGACGTGTAGAGGCTGCAAATCGATGCCAGATGGCATTTTGAAATTCAAGATGGTGGCCATCAGTTCAAGAAAAACTGTCAAATACGCTACAATAAAGGTATTTTCGGAAAGGGGATGACGTGTAGAGGCTGGAAATCGATGCCATACGCATAGGAATCCAAGATGGAGGCCATCGGTTAAAGCTGTGGGTATCCTTATTCGCGGTTCCTTATTCACGCCCCTGTTACCCCGGCAATAAGGATTCCTGACTGTAATTGTCTGCACCGGTGTATGGATGCTTCGGCAAGCACCAAAGCCGAGTGTTTCCGATTTCGGAAAAACACGCTTGCTGCTCGTAGGAATTTTCTTTGGGCGACTTCTGAAAGATTATCGTCTTACGCAAGGTAAGAAGTGGGTGATTTGCGTATTTTTAATAATCCTGGTCCCTTGGATGATCCCTTGCTCTGATGTCCTTAGGTAATTGTTATATTGAGTATGTTCTGTTTTCTACTAAAGGTAATTGAGTTACATTTTTTATATTTCGTTGTAGCATACAGATAAAAATTCTGAATTTTAATTGTGATGTAAACATTCATTCACGTAGACTTGTATTTCATTTCACGCAACCGAGCAGATGGCAAACAATGTTGTTTTCAAATATGGGCTTTTGTATACAATATTTGCTACATTGCATGAAATGTGTCAGAACTTTACATGATATATAATGTAAACGTATATGATATGTGACGCTCCATTTATGTGCATCATATTGAACAGAAATTTACACTACTTTTTCGAACTGTGCATTCTTTTGTTACACCAAGAGTGGAATATTTGTATTTCAGTTTTGAATGTGCTGATGTCTTCGGAATTTTAAATTTCTAAAAAGAAGTTTAAAATCATGAGCGTAAATTAAAACTTTAAGTTTTTTTTTATAAATTGAAGAGGTCCTAAATGAGAGCGTTGTTGGACTCCCGATGTGACTTATAGGATATGATTTTTTTTTCCTTTTTGATCGCAATTGGTTAGATACGATTCAAGCCATTTGAAGAGTTTGAACTGGATTCCCATCTTTTGCAATTTAAAAAGAAGAATGGGTATGTAGACACTTCTACATGGTTTCCGTTATCCATTACTTCCAGAGAATAATTAATTAAATCTAGTAAATTTGTGGTCGTCGAACGACCTTTAAAAAAGCCTGGTTGCATAGTAGTAATTATATTTTTTTTTATTTGGATGAATAATTTATCATTGGCAATCGCCCTAAACAGTTTTGGGATGCAAGAGATAATGGATATACCACGACAATAACGTATGTCAGATTTTCTACCAGGCTTATTAATAGGCACTAGAAATGAGCTTTTCCATATTTTTGGGAATGTATAGCGTCAGGTTTATCAGTGATTTCAACAATTTCTATGAGATTCCACATTTCCAGGTCCAAGTTCTCAACCATCTTTCAACCGTTGAATTTCATGCGAGAAACTTATGGCTTTCTCCCACTTACACATTTATTAAGTAACCCACATTTGCTATGGAAATTCCTTTTCCCATATGTGTTATTCAACGCGGATCTACCGTTGACATTGGAACAAACAGCACAAATCACGTACGCTATTACCACAATAAGCTAATGAAAGCTTTTCTATAGATTGCTTCATAATTAATCATTCAGGCGACAACCGAAATCGATCAACTCCATACCTTTACTATTCATTATTTTCACCTCCCTACCCCATTTTAATAAATGTGCACATTTCCGCATGGTTCGCATTGTCGTTGACGGCAATTTGAAATCACTTTCAGTATACCTACCTTACGTAGGGTAATGTGAACACGGCGACAAAAGCCAAGAGCCGATGAGAATTGGCAAAGCGAAAGCTCTCACTCATTTGAGTGCGATGTTGGTGGTGGTGATGGTGATGGTGATTCGCTTCAATCAAAAGTGGTGCATGTGCAATGACCGCGCGAAAATTCGCAGCGAAGCTCCGGATGGATTGCAGAAGGGCTGTGATCTCTGGGAAAGACAAACATGCGCGACCGTTGATGCGGCTATTGATGTTGACAAGATGATTGGGATGAGGGCCTGATGATAATAGCCGACAATGAGAGAAATAGCACGTCCATCAAAGGTAGACACATCTCGTCACTCGCAAAGTGTCCACTATACCAAGTGCTTGGGAAAATCGCAAGTCAGATCGCTGGTTGTCGTGCCATTAGCATCAAGGGGATATCGAGGGTCTCTTCAGCGGATTGCGATTATTTAATAACTGTTGATCGGAATTACACTCGTTGAATTATCTAATCGGATGCTGATAGATAATCAATTGAGAAATTCCGAGTACTTGGAGAAAATAAATCCAAGCATCTGGATAATTAGTAGAGAGTGAATGCTTTCGGATGATTAATAGATTTAGTTTGTTTCAAATGAAGATAACAAAAACAACAGTTTTATTTGCTATGCATCTGCTCATCAACGCATTTCTTGGCAGACAGAATAACGTCATTAACCCCAACACCATCGTATGATGCACCGCATAATCCCAGAGGTAGTTTGTGTTCCCGAATATACCTTCGAATGCCTTCCACACGCTTCTGGTGTCCAACCACGTACTGCGGAATACAGTTTCTTAAAATGTTCACTTTGTACGCATCCGGTGACACCTGAATATCCAAAATCTTATTCACATTCTTCAATGCCACGTCCAGTAGCTGTTCCTCACTAGGATCGGTTCCGAACCACTTCTTGAACCAGGCACCCCCCATCATCACCGTTAGAACCGTATTATCGTCCATTTCGAAGCAACAGCTGTCGAAGATCACTCCCAGAATGGGTAAGTTCTCAATCGGTGGAACTAGAAATCCAAATCCTTTATGCTTCTGTAGATCTGGACTTTTGTAGCGTAGATTGATCACGGCAACATCTACGAATGGAATTGCAGCTAATTCCTTCGATAATTCCGGATGCTGTCCTGCTACCCGTTTGGCAAGTTTGTAGCTTGGGATACTGCTTATCAGGTGATCAACGACTTGTTCCCTCCCATCGACCTTCAGCTCAACCTTACTCCCATGAAACCGAATCTCTTCGAACTTCACGCCAGTCTCAATCCCAACGCCACTCTTCTGCAAAATCGTTCCTATTCTATCGGGCAGTGTCTGCAGTCCACCATGAATCGAGTAAATGCTCCAGTTCTCCGACTTTGCTCTCCTCGCCAACGCCGAAAGCAACTCTTGCTTTGATTCTTTCTTATCCTTCTTATTCAACGCTTCCTTGAGCATCCCTTTTACCACCCCTCCATGTTTTTGCTCCACGTCGAACAAACTCTTCATCAAAAATTTTACACTAATCTGCTTTGCATCTCCGGCACAGATTCCACACAGCATCGAACTCACAGCATAATCGGCAATCTCTTTGCCAAATCTTCGATCAACGAAGCTATACATTGTCTCGTCCTCAAGGGGTATCTTCGACCGTCCCGCAAACAAATCTTTAAACCCAGCGAAGAACAACGGTTTGGTAAATGGTGGAACTATTTTCAGCACCCCCGACAAGCTCGAGGGTAGCATGTTGAGTTTTCCCTTGGCATAGATCATCCTATTCCTGGCAGCAACGTGATTCGAATAAATCGGATACACTTCCTCGGCGAGTCCCACTTCCTCAATCAAGTCCAGCGTGTTGCTGGCCGCGGGACCCTTCGGACGAATGGTGCGCGGACCAGCTTCGAATACGAATCCATCTTCGTTGAAACGATCGGTACGGATCCATCCGCCGATGCGGTTGCTGGCTTCGTAGATCACAGCCGGATTCGGGAGGCCCTTTTTCAGGAGGTAGTACCCAGCCGATAGGCCACTGATTCCGGCACCCAAGATGGCAGTCATTATCACAAGCGGTTGTTTCTAAGGGACAACTTTGTCAGTCATTGGCAGGATTGGCGATGCGAGGATCTGGAAGAATAAGAAATAAAATGTTATTGATTGATCTGTGTTGGTTCCTACAGGTATAATAATCCGCTCAATTGTCAGAAAAGTGGGACAAATTTCCAACCCGAAAAGATTCTAGACTGAGTTGACCCGTTTCACAACTGGGATCCGTTTTCCTTAGTATAATGGTTTAAGCAGCTAAATTGAGTGTTCCGAATTGTCAGCCAATAAATAATAATGCCCAACCAGGCTATTCGCAATGGGCCAATGAGCGTGGCCATAACCTCTAGCATCGTACAGAATTGCAGTCTTCGACAAAGTTGTTTAGTTGGTGGTTTATGATTAGTTCGTATTCCTACCGAATAGGTGGCTCTCGGATATATATTTTGAACGAAGGGCCCTACAAGGATGGTTTAAAGTTGTGCATTTTATAGTTCCGAGAAATGTTCAGACCTGTTCAATGATCTCAGACTCTCGGAAAGTGAGATATCGGCTTTCTAAAAAAAAATCCTCAAGAAAATAATTAACACATTTTTTATTTGTTTAGCTCAGAAGTGTAAGCTTAATACGTGTTACTTTATCAAAATGCTAAGATTTTCCCAAATATTAAAAAAATGTGGTTCCACATATATTTAAATTATAGTGAAATTGATTGATCAAACTACACACTTAAAAAAATCAATGTAAATTTAGGTGTTCTGAAGTTGACATATACGAGCGTCAATTTTGACATACAATTGAGCCATACTAGACGCGAAATTCAGCTCAATCAAACGTACTTTTCGTCGAGTAACAAACTTTTCAGTCTCGGAGCACTTAGTTTTACATGACATGTTTGTTTACGTGTCATCGTTTATGTCAAAGATGTATTCTGTCGCGTATAAAATTAAGAATTTCTAAGTGTGTAGGCTTTAATTCGAACACTAGGCTATTCACTGAAAAATATGATGTTTCGCTAATTTCAAACGTCTGTTCAAAAAGCCTCGCGTTGCCCCACTCATATTTTTTCATGAACATAAAATTTAAGGTCTCAACTAGCCACAATCACAAACCAAATTTCAGCTGCCTCCGTCTGCAACTGAGAAAGTCATTCACATTTTTGTAGAGTATATATTAAAAAGAAATTTACACTACATTTTCGAACTGTGCAGTTACTTACACACACAGTTCGAAAATGTAGTGTAAATTTCTATTCAATATATTATATTGCCTTACATTGATCCGACATCGGGTCGACTTGTCTGTTCGGGACCATTTTGTTGGATTTCTTCCAAACTCCACTGTCGTATATCAAAAGATAGTGAGTGACTCAGTTGGCAGTGACGATGAGCTTCAAATGAGAAAGGGGCTCTTGAAATTATGGTAATGTGAGAACTCGTTTTCACAGAATTGATTGAATGGTTATATTGGTTCATGTTCAATCGAATGATATGAAAATTAACAGCACTGGTGTGTCATCACTGAACTAGCCTGATTTAAGCTACGCTTCGCTCATTACAGCTTCGATAGAATTCTTCTATCTATAGATAGATATAGCGATCTAGATTAAAACAAGTGATGTCAAAAGATAAGTTTTATCCACATGAACAACTTTGTTGAAAGTTATCCGCTTTCCATCCAACAACCTCGAAGAGTCATATTGCGAGACTTGTTACTGAATATCTCGAATTAATCAATGTGCAATAGAGTGATGCAAAATTTGAAATTTTCGCTCCACAATACTTAAACGATCCCAAATCAGATCCTGACTAGCCTCTCAAAATTTGAACCCATTTAGTGAGAAACTGAGATGGCCAAACCATTTGAAGTTTGTATGGGAATTACTATGGGAAAACCAAGATTTTTGTTCATGTCTATCTAATAATTCACCATACCGGTCTGCTTTAAAAACTTTCATTTGTACTTGTAGGAAATTTTCCCAGCTACAACTTTGCTCAAGACCACTTTTTGATTAAATGCAAGGATCGAAAGTTATCAATGGTTCAATACGCTGATGTCTTATGATCATGCTCAATCAACTGCTCAGCAGGCAACATTGGTGTTTCTGGGGCGTTGAATAGGACACAAAAATCATGGCTACTATGTCACACTGCATAATACAGTGTTGCCTACAGAGCAGCTGCTTGATCATGTCATAAGTTTACCAATCTCTTAAATAATTAATAACTTTTTCCTGTCTCGTTTTACATAGAATTGGTTTTCAGTAAAGTTGTAGCTGAGAAAATTTTCAATAAGAGTGGCTATCGAACTGTCTCGCAGCTCAATATGGAAAAAGAATAGAAGGCAATGAACAAAAAGTTGAGATTTGCCATAGTAATTTACATGTAAACTTCAAATGGCTTGTGCGAAGTCTGTTTCTAACCAAATGAGTTGTAACTTTGGGAGGCTAATCAGGACCCGATTTGAAACCATTTAAGCACTGTGGAGCGAAAAAGTCAAATTTTGCATCAGTCTAATGTGCAACCAAAGGTGGTGAAACTGGGTTTCAAAGGGGGAGAACCTCAATACGCGTGGGTTCGTGTCCTTTGTAGCCGTCACTGGTCGATCTCGGATAAGTATGCGGCTTAAGCACCACTCCGGTAAAGGAGACCGCATGTCATGTTGAGTTTTGCCCGGATGAGACTGCCCCAGGGCGAGTCCAATAGTAATCTTCCTAAAAAGAAGAGATCGAGCCAGCTTCACTCCCACCGAAATTGAACGGGTAGAAACCCCATTGCAAAAACAGCATAATCTCTCACACCTCGAAATATTTCCCCAAAGCTCACGGTAAGAGAGCACACAAACCTAAAACGACGACCTATTTCCGCAACATAAGGTCAAACTCCGACCACGCGGAAGACAACAACAGAATTACATGGACCCGAAACAACGTGAAGACACTTTCTTCCTCTCATTCTAATTTTTAATAGGACAACATTATATACCTACATCGAAATCAAATCAAACATTTATTTCACAACGGAAAACGGTAAGCTTAGATTTTCTTATAACTAGAGCGTGCTTTCACGAAATTTCCATTGCTTTTATTTTTCTACTGCTCTTTATTATCTTTCTCTACCTAGTCCTATTCTTGTGTGCGTAACTACCTTCTATCTGTGCTGTGCTCTTGTGTTTCTTCCTGACGAATCCCACGACGATGCAGCAAGCGGGGAACGGCAAAGCTTGGCACCCGGGTGTCTAACATTGATGGGTTGGGTGGGCATCCATATACGACGATACGTGCGCACGTTTGTCTTGCCGACACCCCAACCTTACAATTGGCGTTGACGGCGACTCTGTAGCTCTTTACTCCTATGAGAAAATCCATAAGCAAACGTCAGACTGTGCGTGAAACATGGCGGACTTTGTACTATCCTTTCGCTCCACCGAAAATTCCCATAAGAAACTGTCTACATTTGCTGGAAGAGCAAATTTTTCGACAGTGCCGTCAACGCCAATTATTGGACTAATCCAAATATTAGCAATTCATGCTCTTCGACCTGACCTTATGGTCGGCAATAAAGGTCCTCCGTGGCGCCCTCGCCGGACGCCACACTCAACGAAAAAAACAGAACGGACTCACCAGTTGATTGAGCTGCTGATGATTGCTGCGCTGCTGTTACTGGCGCGGCGACGATGTTACCTTCAATCGATGCGCGTTCGACCGTTGGTGTTGAACGGCCAACGATTTCCACCTGGGTGGACGAACCACAAAGCCCCGCTCAGCGATGTAGATGCGGATCGCGTTCGACCGGACAAGGTGACGGTTGCCGGGATTATTCGCCCCGGGGATGCAGATGATGACGTTGGAAGCGTAAACGTAGCCGTCGGCTGGTGAAAAGAACATTAAGCACAATGCACAGATTTTCTTTAACGATCACATTACCTAGTCTAGCTTATTTTCCGCGCACACTACGTATTGATTTATAATTATAGCTAAACAATCAACGAGGAGAAATTAGAATTTAAGTATAAAAGTACAACAACATTGCTTTAACTCACTTTACAAAACGTAACTATCACGCGAACAAAATGAAACACTACTACTGCAATCTGGGGTTCGGACGAAAGTGAAGCGAAACCGTGACCCTCAGATTAGGGAAGGTGACCTCGGCCGAACTTAACGGAAGTTCGATTTTCCCGCGAACTTCTTCGAACTAGATCGGCAATGCGAGAGATTATTCTGATCGCTGGTCCTTCGTTCAAAGTCGGGTGTAGCCACACTCTCTCTTTTCCCAACTTTCCCGAAGCTTTCACTGGACTCGGCCTTGGGAGAAATTGTACAAGATCGAGTGGCTTTACTCACGAGGCATTCTATTTTTATAGTAAATCGACCAGTGTCGTTTTGCTACTGGCATAGTTTTTGGCGTATGGATTCGATATATTTCATTCTTATTTTATTTATGACTAATTTACTATTTACAACATGGAGTGACTGTTACACCTTCAAAATAGGGTTAAGTGACCAGTTGAAAGAAAAAGCATTGTCCACCAAATCCTGGCCAGAAAACATCAGTTTTTGAGAATTCGAGGATCGAGCAAAAAACGCCCCGAGAGGAGTCAGTCTATCTTCGAGGGATGCAATAGATTCGTCAACGTCGGGCGCATATGAATCTATTTCTTGAATACCGCGACGCACATCACAAAGCGCTGTAGGAGCCATCAAGAGCTATTACAGACGTCATCAATTCAGCTAGCTGCCATCGCAGTCGTCCTGGTCCTGTTTACGAGTGTGTGGAAGGGGTCGCCCAGCCTGCAATCTTCTGCCCCTGATGATTTACAAAGTTTCAGCCCAAACTCCAACCCAACCCTGGCTACTAATGATGTGTGCTCACGAGGTCAAAGTCACCTTGATCTTGTGGTCGATGGTAGAACAGAAGCCGTCCAAGGTGATGCTTTCGGCAACATAAATCGTACTACGAATCTGCATACCGTCGTCCGAGAATATCATCTCATCGTGGGTGCCATTGCTACTTCAACTCAACACTCTGCAAGTACTACTCAAGCTATAGGACGCAACAAGGTTAGCTCTAAGGAAGCCCATAATCATTCCACCACAGTCGAGCACACTCCATCATCGGCTAACAGTCGTCCTGACTCTGTGTGTGGTTATGGAGAAGGGGTCTTCCAGCTTGTCATTCAAGGCGAGTACGATGCACCCTCCGATTCCAGCGCGACCAAGCTTTGGAACGTACTGGCAGAGATGCCAGATTTTTTTTCTATGCAATTCCGTAGACTTATTCAAATCTATGGATTTCTACGGATTTTTTTTTAGTCGAAGGTGATATTTTTTTTTAGTTCCAATGAGTTATTTTACGTTAAATGATAAATCGATGAAAGAACTTTTGAAAAACTACTAGGGACAGCCCTCTGGGGTATAGATACTATAGATTCCATAGATAAGCGGAGACAAAGTAGAATGTAGCCAAACGAACTGTCAGTTAGTGTAGCCAAACGAGCATGACGTCATCATGGTGTTGTTTGAGGGAGAAGTATTGTAATATTATGAGCACAAAACGCTTTCCACACTCCACGTTCCGATTTATTTCGCGGACAACGGAAGAAGGAAAGATAAAGCAAACTATTCCTCGATTAATTGTTGCAAAGATTTGCTTTGCACTTCATTTTGAACTTTTATGCACGAAACAAAACAAAACTGCACAACGAAGAGCTCTATGATGGCATGAACTTTTTTCACGGATACCAGTAAGATCATTTATTTTTCATGGTTGCCAAAACAACTTTTTGTGCCTCCGCTTATCTATGGAATCTATAGTATCTATACGCTGGGGTTGTACGCAATGGTGACGTCGGCTTACGTGGTCTTATATAATAAATGTTATTTGTTAACTGCAGCAGGACTTGTGTTTTGTGTGGGAATTGGAATTTGAGAAGGGTTCTCTCTGCTTATACTCTTTAGTATGACTATGATTGCCATGAAAAGAAGCTGTTGATATGAATTTTAGTTGGGACATGTTAAGAAATTAAGAAAAACAGGCATGAATACCATGATACTGTTGCACCTGTAGTTTTTGACATACTTTCACTGATTGCTTCTCGGGGATCCTTGTTAAGCCATAGCAAGATGTGCGCGTGAGGACTTCCACTGTACTGATATTCAATCGTGTCAACCAGCTTGATGAAGTACACACAGCACATGACTGGATCATCATTGACCAGAGTTGCTCTTTGTAGTGCAGTCAGTTCCTGGATGGGATCTGTTAATTCATTTCCATTGTGTCCTTCTGACAATCGATGTAGGAGATTCATCAAATGGGGCCACTTCATCTAATTTGCACTGAGTGTGAAAAACATCGTAGGCTTTCCCAATTGTCGCATCATGGTGAACAAATTTCTCTTCCTTTGTTGCCAATACTGACTGAATGGTATTGATTTGAGGAAGGATAGATTTCGCACAATGCACTGCTCCATGAATAAGGCGGTTCTTAAGGTTGACACGTGTGATGTTTACGGTCCCGGGAACTTAAAAATGCATTGCAAGCCTTCGGAAACTCTTAGGCGAAGAACTTTCATTGTCATATACAACAAATTTTGTGGTTTGACCACATGCCTGTCTTGACGGCGAGTTTCACTGGATGCAATCATGAAATATGTCACCCATATGTCATTCCAAAGGAGTGTTTCCTGTTGCCCAAGCAGCAATTCTGACTCAATATCCACGGCAATGGTTTTCATAATGGATATTTTTGGTCGCCATTGAAAATTTAGTCGATTGCTGAATTTATATATGGGCCCAAATTAGGGACATTTAGGCTGACATTACATACATTTCTCCTACATACATTCGTGACGGCCTTCGGTAACAGTGTCGTATGACAGAACCTTTCGTATGTCATTTCAGCTTTGTACTGTAATTTGAAAGCTTGTTTTGCAAGTGTTGGTAAATCCGAAGAAAACCGAAATACTCTTCGTTCAATCGAAACTCAATACAACGAACTACTGGCCGCTAGCTACGAAGAACATGTTCAACGAAGACATTTAAACCTGAGACAAAACCCATCGAAATTCTGGAAATTCGTGAAGTCGCAAAGGATGTGCAATCGCCTACACAACACAGTTGTTCAGGACGACGTAACCGCAACATCCCCGGAAGAGATCGCAAATTTGTTCGCTACGTTTTTTTTTAAGGTGTTTATGGTGCAAGGCAAGCTCACCTTCCCGCTTAAGGCCTGTATAGAGATCGAAGCGAAGCGAAAACCTCATACAAAATACTAAATTTTTCACCTGCGTGAAAAACGCAATTGGCAAATTTTTCACTTCGCTTTGAACTGTAAACAGATACGATCCAGCGAAATCTAATGTTGTGGATCGCATCTTTTTCGCTTACGTTTATTTTTTTTTCGCGCATGCAGCGCTCGCGAAAAGAGCAGCAGCTAAGCGAAAAGTTGACGTTTCGGGAGAGCGTATCTGTCAGATTTTCACTTCACCGGAGGTGTAAACTGATCGATTTCATTTCACATAAACTGTAAACTGCGAAAAAAGGAAAGTGGAAAATGTTCCACAAACATTTTTTCACAACCTTTTCCGCTAGCGAATTTCATGATTTTTTGCGTGCTTCAATTTTCGCTTCGCTTCGTTACAGTGTCAACAATCGACATGACAATTCAAGCTGAACATTGCATTAGGTCCTAAGTAACAATGATCGATTATCTTCGTCTTAGGACCTAATGCAATGTCCAGCTTGAATTACTTTGAAAAACTCATCTCTGAAGTAAAAAAAAATCAATCAAATAATTTAAAACAATTAGCCATGATGTTTAAGTATGCAAATGTCTCCTTAAGATACTGCTGAATGCTACGGATAAATCACTTTAAATATATTTGGCTCAGTATTCCCATCCAGCAAGTATTTGCAAAATAATTTTCAAGTTACTTTGAAGAACTCATCTCTGTATTAAAAAAAAAATCATTAAAACTATTTTAAAACAATTAGGTTTGATGTCTTAATGTTTAAATGCCTTGTTTTAATATTCTGGAATATTCTTGGCGAAGAACTGGAATGGTATTTCACTTGGTTTTTCTAACATTCATGGTTAAATTACAAGTAATATTATTAATGGTTGATAGTTTTGAATTTGCTTAAGACACAATATCTAGTACAGGAAGCCATCCAGAATGTATCATAAATCAACTATTGCATACTTCATGGCGTAAATTGAGCAATTATTGCATACTATTACAACTATTGCATACTTGGATGGCTTCCTGTACTAGATATTAGTACATGCTGGATGGTATGGTACTGGATAACTTCATTGACAACAGAATGATTTTGTTAACACTTCGTTTAATAGCATAGTAATTTTTTTTCTTTCTTTTGGTTTGTTTTTTCCGTCGATCTTGTTTTCCGTGCTGAGCACCAATGCTACCGACGTGCCAGGAAGGCAGCTCCCACACCTGGACCCTACCTATCGACCCATCAACTCATGAACCGGGGACCAACGGCTTTACTTCCCATCCGAAGGAAGGCGTGATCAGAGATGTTATGCCTCAGAACATCCCGGCGGCGCCGACTGGGATTGAACCCAGGCCTGCTGGGGTGAGAGGTAATCACGCTTACTACTACACCACCGGCGCCGCTAGAAGTTATAGTAAAAATTGAATTGGCCTGGTTTCTATTATGGTGAGTGCATGTGTCTTGTGTTAATACTTCACGGGTCATAAAGTTTAGAATTGACCACTTTGTCAAGCAGTTTTAGCGTGTCTTTCTACCAGCGATTTCACAAAACTGGACCAACTAATTTCTATTTTTCTTTCAAACGCACAAATTTTGGTTACTTTTCTCGTGGTTCTAGAAGAAAAAATCTCAAAATAATGTTTTACTTCAAAGTTCGAGTGGTAGTAAACGTCATTTTAACTGCTCGAATGAAGTGGTTAATTGATCATCATAATCTTTTTTAGAGCTCAAATCCATTCTTGCAGCTTACTAAATATGACTGTTCCAAAGCTACTACTGCTTGTTAAATATATCATTTGTTAATTGTACTGGTCTGTGCTGTGCAAAATAATTAGAGTAAACGCACCAATAGTGAAGGTACGTTGGTGCAATGTGTTCCTATAGTGGCTTATGGGAACTCCGTAAGCCACTATAGGAACACATTGCACTAACGTATCTCCACTATTAGTGCGTTTACCCTACTAAGTTGAGGAAACTGTCCTATTGATGCGATACGTTAGAAACGTTAGGAGCCTATTGCTGCGTATGGAGACCTCCATACACAACAACTAGCTCCTAACGCTTCTAACGTACCGCAACTATTATTTTTGGCACTGAAGTCTAAAGTGGGCGCAATAATATTAACACAGCCTTATATGAACATATAGCTATGACTGGTACATTCACCCTATACTGCCCATAGTCGCATAGCAGTTCCATATGAAAAAAATGGCATTGAGAAAATTGCAGTCGAAGCTACGAAGTGCAATTCTCATGTAAATATTTGAAAAATCAGGAAAATTTATTGATAATTTTATTAAGTTAAAGTCAGTTGAAATGAAGCTTGAATGTTTTGTTATATCTGTAGCAGAACTGTAACTACTCCTCTGGACGATCGACTTTCAAGATGGGACTAAATGCGATTACTTTGGTTGATGGGACAAACTGGTATGATGTTGTTTTCACATTTTATATATATGAAAGCAGATGTCAATTGATAGTGCATACTGTTGTTATCTCAAAATTTAAGAAAATCCATATGGGACTTATATGCGATTATAGGCAGTATAGGTTAAATAGAGTCAATATGTTTTGTCACTTTGTATGTAGGTATCTATTCCATGCCAAACTACATTCTGGTTGCAGCACATCTAGTATTGATGAATAAACTAACAATCAGGCGTGAAAAGCATGAATATTGCAAAACAAATACTTACTTGTTAATTACGAAAATAATTGGTCCAAGCACTTAACTGAACTTTACGTATCTTCTGTTAACATTAGTCCAAAACTGTCCAAAACAAAACGCACTGCCCATGTATGCAGAAGGTACGAGAAATGATGCACGTAAGACTTCTCATGCAAAATAAATAATACACGCACAACATACAACCCGACAAGAGCTGTCAAAACCGGTGTTTATGCGCAAGTCAATGAAAGGTTGATGTATATTTGTTGGACGGTCAGCTGTAAGCTGCGTGCAAGTTTAAGTTGAATTATACCCAAATGATAATTTTAATGTTTCATTGTAATACGAATTAGTACTTTGGAGATATTAGCATAACAATATTCATACCAAGATCATGAAGAATTTAAATGTTAATAAGGCTAAATTGCTTTGTCTTTGACGCCTTTTGACTGGATGCCGGTTGGATGGTAACTTGCATGCAAGTTTAAATACTCGTTCGATACTTATTTGAACTGGACCCCTCGGTGCCAGTTTGTTGTGGTCACCAATGAAAGAAAAATAAACAAAACCAAGGAAGTCGTGAAAAAATCCATTTTCTTGATGGAGGAAAAAACATTGCTGCAAAATTCATTAAAAATGTAACAAATTAAATATCACAATCATCTAGAAACGAGTGATGACTTCGAATCGTGACTTTTTGCGTGCGAATAGTCACGAGCGAGGCGACGAGGATGATGATGAGGACGACGATTCGGATACACTGACGGAGTTGTCCTTTTCAAGATCCCCAACCAGTAGTCTGGGGAGAAGCAGCACCGGGTCGATTCCATGGGCGGAGGATGCCGTGAAGCAGAATCAGTTGGAATGGGAACGAATCGAACGGATGTTCTACGGTGAGGAGGAGCTTCCCGGCGATAGCAAAATGCGGGAGGAGCTTCTCGAGTGGATGACCGCCTTTCCCCATCTAAGGGTGCTCGGAAGAGGTGTAACGATTGATGAAAGCCCCACGGCAAAATGCTCGGATTCATTCCATGAGGAAGTGCTGGCAGCTGATCCACCACTAATGAGCCGAATCCGATCATCTAGGAGTGGTAAAAACGCAAAGCATAGCAAGGAGAGTGAACTGCAGCTTGTTCCTAACGATATCGAAAGATATCTTCATATCAGTTCTGGTCAAATCATGCGAAACAATCATAGAAATGCCAAAGAGTTTATTAAGAATACTAGCGATTCCATAATTTCGTTCGTAGATACTGTTGACAAACCGCCTAAGCAGAAAGCTTCAAATAATTTAATCATACCTTCATCGAATCAATCATTTGGAATTTTAATTAGCAACAACTATAACTATTTAACGTGCAACGAGCTATCCTTGAGCCGTAATAGTAGTGCACAATCAGTTACACGCTTCAACAATAGTATTATGCACAAAAGGTTGGCCCCACTCGGTCAAAGACCGCAACCGAAGGCATCCGTAGTGCTGGAGAAGCCCATCCTCTCCTCATCGGCATCGGCAACCAACACCCGGATACCACCTCTCGGTACCAACATTAAATTCATCGTCCGAAATACTGGCGTTCCTGGAACTCTCGGAACAGACATCGATCAGCGTCATGCAAAATTCAACATGGTTAAATCCGCTACCTCCTCCCGGTACCCACTGTCCCCGACGAAGAACATCATTACACTGCCTTCGCTATCCGTCTTGGATACGCCAGAACGAACTGGCACGATTCCTCGCGGGTCTCGGAGAGCTGCTTTCAATTCGCAAATCGTAGGACGTTCGATTTCGGCAGCAGTAACTCAGAAGAATTTTTCGTCCAAATCCAACGGCACTGGAACCAACGGAAACGCTACCGGAGCACCCAAGCTGAATGTCATTCACTTTCACTAGAGCGTCGTTGCCTCGTTTTGAACGCAAAAATCAAGCCAGAATCGCTTAAATTTTGTTGTGCGAAATCGCTTTTCTTGATATTGGGCCACTAGTCATATAGGGTCTCTTTTGTAAGCAGAAGATTAGATGATTAGGTATTTTATGTTTGGAAGTTATACTGAATAAAGTGTGGTCTGTGATTTTGCAGCTGAAAAACTTCACAGATTATGAAAACTAGTTGTGTTTTAACTGATGTGATGACCATAAGCCCTCTAATAAGCTCACCCGATTTGAAGTTCGTCACTTCGATTTTCTACTAAGCATTGAAGTCTCTGATCTCGAAGCTACTGTGATCTTGATCTTGACCACTTTCAATTTGCAGAACATTTCACAACCCATCTGGATGTTTGCGACAAAGGAGACAGTTGTAAACATCTTGTGATTTACGTTGTACATTAGGAATAATCAGTTTCGTCACAAGTATAAATTAATGCAATGGTGACTTTGTATAGTTTGATTTGATGCTTGCGTTGAAGGGTTGAGGGGTTGATCATGTTTATATTTTTTTTTTCGTTTCATTCAAAAAAGGATCATTTAGGATTTCATTTAATTAAACTAATTATTTATTTACTTGTAAAAAATACATTGTTTTGTGACCTGTTGTTATTGAACACTTTCCGTACTCCACCGACAGTTTCAATCAATCTTTGCCACCCGGTTGCAACTATAGAAGTGTTTGCCGTCTCCTATCTGGATTTAGTAAAGAGTGGCTTAACTCATTAAATGTGTAAATTTTTTACCCATTAATGAGTATCTGTTACCCATTAATGAGTAATTGTTAATCATTAATGGGTAACAGATACTCATTAATGGGTAAAATTGTTTAATCATTAATGAGTTAAGCCACTTTTCTTCAAAATGGGTCTTTTTTTACTCATTAATGAGTACTTTCAAGTTAGCGTGTAAATGATATTTTTGGTCGCTATTGAAAATTTAGTCGATTGCTGAGTGTATGTATGTGCCCAAATTAGATTTTTATGCAGATGTTAACTGAATTCAAATTAAAAACAAGTCATATAATGTTATAGTTTTTTTTCCCTTGATTTGATTTCCGTCGATCTTGTTTTCCGTGCTGAGTACCAATGCTACCGACGCCAGGGAGGAAACTCCCACACCTGGACCCTACCTATCGACCCATCAACTCATGTACCGGGGACCAACGGCTTTACTTCCCTCAGAACATCCCGGCGGTGCCGACTGGGATTGAACTGGCGCTGCTAATGTTATAGCTAAAATCACAAGTTGATTCATAATAACTTTAAATACGAGTAATGCACGGTAAGAAAAAAGTACCCAAAATTGAGTTCCTTTCACTCATCACGTGGCTTCCGTGGGGCTAGGTAAAATTAAGTTAAAGAAGAAAACTCAATTTTGAGTAATCCTTGCGTTGACCAAGTTGACAAAAAAATAATAAAACGGAGCAGACTGGAACCGAACCATGGACGTTGAGGTTACGGGGCCCGTGTGTTGACCACTCGTCTCTCAAGGCTTGTGAAAATGAAATGGTTAAAGGCGCATAAAAGCAACCTCAATGAAAATAAACTTATTTTTGAGTTCATTTATTGTTACTCAATAGTTGAGTAAATTTTAACCAACGCCGCTTTTCTGATTCACTCAACGGCGGACCTCAAATGATAGAACCCAACGTTGAGTTTTTTTAAACTTAATTTTGAGTATTTTTTCTTACCGTGTGCATACAAACTTTATGATCTTTTGAAATATTTCCAACGTATGGTGGTTCGGATTCAAGCTAAACGATAAATTTGCATGTTCTTTACCCGTCAATGAAAAAAAAAAAAACGATGAGGATCTTGCATGCAACAAATATGCACGGAGAAAAAATACTACCCAAAGTAGGAACGAGAGATTCGACCCACGATACAGTTCAGCCCAATAAGTTACTTTTGAGTAAATTGCACATTCTCAAATTTACGTGAATTAAACTTTTTTATTATTATTTAGAGACCCACCTGCAACTCACCTCCACATCAAAGAGCTTTCATCAAGAGCCTCGTTAAGATTTTAATTTAAAAATAAATATAAGAATTAGAAGGAATAGTAACATATGCTGATAATGTGGAGGTGTGTGTGATGAGCTATCTGTAAAACAAACAAAGTTAATAATGTTAGGATGTTCCCTGTGGAACTAAGTTAAAAGGGATCCCTCACCTATATATATATAAATGATTCAAAATATTAATGTATACAGCTTAATATTGAGTGTAATACAATGATAACAATTAGTGCAATTCAAGTGCAATAGTTTACGAATGTATATCAAGAGTTCATTGATTTTTGATTTGTTATGTTGTTTCGAACTGGTTTTTAAATAACAATCGATTGCCCAAATGTTTCAAGCGTTCCGGAAGTACGTTATATACAGATGGACCATAAAAGGAGATTCGTATTTGAACAAGGCATGCAAATGCCCTCGAACGAATTAAATTATTTGCATACCGTGTGTTGTGCTCATGATTTGCGATCGGTAAGATGAGGATACGATGCATGTTCGGGTTTGTGTTAGTGTATCGTATATAAATAAGCAAGACTGCAAATTTACACAAGCCACGTAATGGGAGAATACTGTGCGATATGTTGATGCAAAGTTGGAAAGTCGAATACAATTGCGGCGAAAAATGATTATTAAACATCGATTTTGCAATACTTGAAGCTTTTTCATCTTAGCTTTGCAAGCATGTCCCCAAACAATGATAAGGTAATGCAAATGAGAGTGTATAAAACCATGATAAAACGTTAGAAGAGCACTCCTGGGCACACATTTGCTAACACGATACATTAAGCCACAAAGCGACGAAATTTTCCTTTGGACGTGTTCTATATGATCACCCCAAGAGAGCGTAGGATCTAACACCAAACCTAAGTAATTTATTTCGGGTAGAATATACTTAAGAGTAGGTTATTTTTTTGCTGGTGTTAAATGGAAACTACTATATGCGACTTACCACATAACATATGTGGAACTTCATGGAGCCTCATAGTCTAGTCAGTAAAGGCACTGTATTACCATAGAGGTGACTACTATACTACTATACCACTTCACATCACTGAAATGGGGTCGATTTTTGATGATCGAGTTCCGTATATGTTATGTGGATTTACTCAAATTTGGGTTATTTGGCTGAAGCCCGGATTGAGGGAAAAGTACTTAATTTTGGGTAGTGTTTCATCTCCGTGTATATTTTCCTTGCAAATAAGGCG